AGGCTTGCTTTTGTTGTCAGTCTGATTCATTTCTTTTTTTTATTTTCTCGCTGACCTTATTTATGTTTATTTTGTGCATTCAAATTGAGAACATGCATTGAAGAATTGCTTCTTTCTCGGCTCTGAGCCAACTTAATGCATGGTCTCCCCTGTAGACACTGGGAAATCAGCAACTGTTGCAACATGAAATACCCCTGACCGACCAGTCCATCTTTCACTCCTAGCCTAATTTATATATAAATTAATCAAAGAGGTAGCTCTGAGGAGCCTATGATTCATCATGTACAATTTGGCTTTATGCTAAAGGTTGTGTGTACTAAATCAAGGAATGGAATATGTTGAGGTGTTCTTCAAATCAGCCGCAATTTCTCCTTTTATATACGAATGGCATCAACTGAAACATCAACTCCATTTTAAGAGTTTATTTTGTTATTGTTTTGTAGAGTTTTCCAGTGAAGAGAAATCATCGTTATCCATTCAGTTAATACAGCGTTTGGTGTATACAGCAGCAAAAGTGGATGCCTGGTGGCTGATTAAAATTATCTTTAATTTGCCCGCTGGAAGGATTGTTTTTGATTCCTATAAAAGTAGATCCTTGCTGCCAGAATATGTTGCTATTGCAAATGGCCACAAGGAAATTGCACAATACCTCCAGGATGTGACCAAAAGGTACAAACTCATTAATTTATTAACTTCGGGGGTATTGAGGGAGGTGTGTATATCCCATCTCCCCTAGATTATTTCAGAAGGACTTACTCTGTGAAACTTTCAGTAGCTGTTCAATGTTGTTAGTTTTGTTTTTTTAAACGTTTTTTGACAGAATTCATCGTTTTTCTATTTTTTCAGCAGCAGAGTTAAATTAGTACTTTCTTTGCACCGTTATCATTTTTGATTAATTTTCTGTCAATTTTCATTACTTCTCTTTCTGTGAAAATAGTGAAATCCAAGATAGTGGATTTTTTAGATGGTGGACGTAATGACTTCATTTGATGTCACATGAAGTCATGACTGATTAAATGATTTGCATGTCTCAGTACATGGGAGGGGACCCACTTCCCCCTTCCTTCATCCTACGGTGAATATATGACCTTGTGTTTATGTCCATGGGCTAGAGCAGTTTTCACTTAAGTGTTGCGAGTTAAATTCACCTTTTCTTCATTTTTTCATTATTATGATAAGCACATAGCTTAAAAATGCATGCACCACTCTTTCATCCAAGCACTGGAAAAACCAAAACCAATCGTGACTCACTCGCACCTGTTTCCCTGTGCTTCGCATCTGCAATGACTCTGCAACATGAATTTGCTTCGAGTTATTTAACAAATAAAGAAGCCTCGACTGTGTTCTGTTCTGTTGTAAAGCACGCAGGAAACGGTAGAGCACGAAAGAAGTGTAGGGGAAAACGCGAGAAGTAGTCGAGTGTTTTTCCCTACTTCTTGAGTGCTCTACCGCTTCGTAAGTGCTTTACAACAGAACAGAGTACAGTCGAGGCTTCTTTATTTGTTTTATAATAAAGAATCCGATAATTTCCCCACGCTTTTGGCTGAATTTTCAAACCAAACTTTAATTTCCAAGCGAGCAAAAGTGGCGTCAGCCGTGCTCGTTTCCATTGCGTTTGTCTGAATCACAGGGGATGTTTAATTTGGGGCAAATTTTTCAAAATTCCGAAGCAAAAATTTGAAAGCCAACTTACCGTCATCAACCCGTGCTCTGTTGTCTGATAAAGCACGCTCTTTCAGCCAATCAGAGCGTGCGTTACATGGAAACTTTATTATAATACTGGTTAACCAGACTTTTCCGCCCTTTTGGCCTTGGGCAGAGTGATTACTTTGGTTTTGGTTTCACTGAAAACAGCTCAAGAGATGGTTTGAAATCAAAATTTTGTAAGTAGGATAAGTATTTTTACCCCTTATTTTCATTCATTTACCTAGTACTCAATTTCGAAATAAGAGTTTCTTTGTTTAGTGAAATAACAGAAATCATTCTCTGCCCAATGTAACTGCCAAGATCCTAAGGTTGCGGCTCACTGAGAAACTTAACAATTACAGAGGAAGCGATTTATGAGGTGAACTCCACTTGCAGAATGATTAAAACACATCTAATCACAGTTCAAGTTTCACGAGTTACACTAGTAGCGACGGTGATGACAGGAGATAGATTACGTAGCAAAACAGTTCCAAAAATAACTGATGAAGTAGACTTGAAGGTAGCAAAGTTCATAGTTGTGGTACAAATGAGTAGAACAAAGTAGAGTAGAGTAGTGTAGGCTCGAACTGAAAGTGATAATTAGATACAGTACTGCTAAGATAAAGCATTTAGCTACATAGAGATGTAACAGACATAATAATCGGTACTTAACGACTAATAAGGCGGTTTCCAGGAAGACTTAAGAGCAAATGTACACAAAAATCAAAAATAGTTCGGTAACGCTTAAAAAATCGAATTTGCCCTACTGCTGCATATAAGTAGGCCTTAGTAAAAGTAAAAACGCTATGTAGTTTTTCTTCAAATATCTTGGTATTTCCAAGAAAAAGGACATTATCGATTTCACGTCCAGACATCAATCTAACGAGTGCTAACTGGGCTGAAAATCGACCATTTTCATTCAATTCGCATTTCGCAACTATTGAGCGCAAAAAAGTTGCAATACAACCGACTTAATGCAGAACTATACTTTGTCCAAAACAGCCCAGTTTTAAGAATATTGGATTAATCCAACCATTTAGCGGTAAACAAAACCAAAGTGTTCTCCAGCGATGAGTTTGTCAGTCGGTGAAAAGAATTGTCATTTTGATCATATGCCATGTCTCGAAATTCTAAAAGATTTTAGATTCTAATTATGCTAGAATAGTTCTTTCAATATATGTAAAGTTTAGTTTGGGCAAATGATTAGGCACTTGTCAAAAAATTATTCAAATCGCACACTAAAAATTAGAATAACGCCAGCAGTTGAATGCGTGACCAAAAGTGCTACCATTGTTTTTGTCATTAAATCACTTCAATTCGAAATATCACAGGAATATCAGCACGACTTCAGCATAAAACAATATAAATATGTTTACCTTAGCTGGGTTATCATGTCTTGACCAGCAAACAACATTCCCA